TTTTTTTTTTTTTTTTTTTTTTTTTTTTTTTTTTACGTTGAGAAGACAATTTGAGCAAAACCAACTTCTAAACATTTTTTCGTGAGCCAACACCTCAAATGCAGTTTTTTTATTTTTATCTTTTTAAACGCATTGATCTACCAAGTATATAAAGCATACTGCCTCTAGGCTCTAGCACTAATGGCACATTTAAAAAGTCTCGACCTATGCACTGGTCTTTCTCAGAATAATTTTGGTTTCAAACAGAATCCAACCAATTAATGCTCGTTATTTCATTTAGTCTTCACTGACTAAACAGAATTTCTCAATTTTCATGTCAGCACTATCAGTTCAGATATCTCTAATTATGGCCATTCTCAAGTTCTAATAACAAAAACTAGAAAAAGAATTCTATGTCAAACTGCAAAGGTAACCTAGCCTAGGACAAACCTTGTATAAGGCGGAAGCTTTAGTAGATTCATACAAGTAGCCGATGTTGGCAATCGGTCAAGTGATTCATCAGATGCATTACTAGAAGCCCTACAAGAAGAGACATCAGACAATTCCAATGTGTCATTCTTGTCTTTTAGATATAAATTGTAATAGAAGGAAAAGAAAACCACTTGAGTAATAGTGTAAAATTAATGCTGGAATTAAATATCAGAAAACTGCTGTGGCAGCATTCACCTTTGTATGCAAAACAAAGGTTCAAGATATCGGAAACCAAGCAATGGCCCACGAGAGCAACCTGTCACAAACCTGTAGAGATGATAAATTTATTATCCATATTAAGATCTGTCAAATAAAAGGGCTCTGGATTCATGTAGTTATGTATATCTTACTTCAAAAATTTCTTCCTGTTTTCCAATGAAAAGCCTTTGAGAACTTCCCAAAACGTCTCAATAACATGATGCTCCTATCAGAAGAAATAACATGTTAGAATTCAATAGTGACAACAAGAATAAAGCTTTTTTAAGCCCAATGGGGTGTGGGACCCTGTCATCAGAAAATTATTGATTGAGAGGTAAGACTCAGGAACGTATTTAAAGTGAATGGAAAAAGGCAAAAATGGATGCTACATGATCCCCAAATTCTCATGTGGATAGAACATGAAGCAGCAAACACGCTATTTGCTCCTCACTGACTCAATACACATAAATGCCAGAGGGCTTACACTCTGATAGCCTCCTGCATAGTTGGTGTGCAGCCGCAGATCATCAATATCTAGGCTGTCAAGTGAACCTGATATCAGAAGCTGTGGAAAACAATTACGTCAAGCAAGTTCAGAATCACGTATAGACACAATTGCAGGTGTAAACATTCTCTTTTTTGGGGAAAATATTTGAAGATCACACCCTAAAACAAATTGACAACAATAAATACAAAAGTGTAGGATAAGATTTGGTTGAAGTTGTAATAAATAAGGATCATTAGGAACAAAAGTTACAACCGAAGATAAAATTCATTTATGTGCCTTTCTATCTTTTGCAAGGCTAGATTAGATTTTGTCCTGTTGTTAAATACACCACCACACGAGCAGATATCAAAACCATATACAATGGAAAAAAGAGGACAGCATAGCTTTCAAGACCCAAAAGTGGATAAGATTATTAGAGGAAAAACAAACCTGAAGTTCATGTTCATTAAACATATCTATCCAATCCTGCTGA